TTTTGTGAAGGAATGCAGGGTTAAATATGAAGTTGTCGCACCAAACTCCTCTTCTGAGAGCTCTTGTGCCAATAGTTTGCAGAAGACTGCCAGCCACTCACAGTTCTTTGAATCCATTTTGTTATTTCTACTAGATCAGCGATGCTGCAACTATGCCACAGGTAGGCACCTAATAGCAAATATTTATAAATTGAAAAGTTGGCAAGTGGGACCTGCAAGAAAATGTGGGCATGTGGAGTTCTCTTGTTCAGAGTTCCAGCAAGCCCTGTTTTCAAAGTGATCGATTCCATGTCCAATAGCCCAGGCTCTCTGTTTTCCCTCTGCCAACAGCTGCTTAACATTGCTATGATATTGCTCACTCCTCATTGGGACATCTGGTGGAGAGGGGTAGATGGGCTCCTAAAAATTGTTTTTGTACTGCTTCAGACTTTGGGATTTCTCGACTCTGATACCTTCTTCTTGGCTATTAGTGATCAGTTTTGGCAACATAGATAACAGTACTCGTCCCTGAAGCTGGAAAATAGAGGGAATAATGACCTAAGATTTGAAAGCGTGTGCACTGGTAGGCCAGTGTATGCAAAAGAATTAGGTAAGCTGTGGAGAATTATCCACCTCTCTGTTATGTCTGGTCGAGTTCTACAGCAAAGCTTTCATGCTTTCTTTTTTATTGTTCCACTTTATTGCCTAATTTTAATCACTTGAGAAAAAGAAAAAAAACCTATCTATTTGGGAAGTTAACTGAACTGAACCTTGTAATAAAGCAAAAGCATCTGGAATATCATCTTTGTAGCTTGATGACTGAGACAGCTCTAAAGGCAGATCTGCACTTGTTATGACAGCTGTTGGAAACTGGTGTCAATATTATATTACCAAGTGTTTTAGTAATCTTTACTTCTGCTAGCCCAAAAATATGTTTATGGTGTTAACCCGAGACAGTTTGATTGTAGAAAGGAATCAATAATTGTTCACATCTGTTGAGTAAATAAATAATATATGTTCATATGTCTCCTGAAGTCAGTTTTGTTGAAAACTTTGTGCAGGGGATTAATGAATGTTTGTGTAGTGCTTTGAAAGTCTAAAGTATTATAAGTGCCAGGTATTATTATTAAATCCTTCATGAATCAGGCCCATTAAAGGCTAAACCACTGAGTTTTTTAAACTGGCAGAATACTGCAGTCACTGGATTCTTTGTTACTGCTTTTTGTATTGCATCTGGTCATTCTGCACATATACCCAGTGCTCATGTTGTGGGCATATGTGTGTATGTATACTGAATTTGTAACCTACCCTTCTTTCATGGAAGGAGCTCAGGGTGCAGAATGGCTTTACCAATTTTATTCCTGCAAGGACCCGAAGCAGATGGAGCAAAATCATTAACTGAGATGTGGGTAGGAGCATGGCGCACCGCTGGTTTGCCAACTACACTGACTCCCAGTCTGCTTCCATGCCCAGTTCAAAGTTTTGACCCTTAGGACCCTTTATGGCTTGGGACCAGGATACCTAAAGGTCTGTGTGTTCGCACACAAAACTTAATCTGAGCCTTAAGATTTTGTTCTCACTCCCTTCTCTAAGTGGTTTGAACAGGAGAGGTGGCTACTATAGAAACCTTCTCAGAGAGGAGGACCTCTTATTTTCAGTTTCTTCTAAAAGTGAATGGGGCTTTGCTAAGTATTTTGTTTTCAACTTTGTTCTACTCATCACAACAACTGGCTCTCTTTCTAGCCATTTTAAGCAGAGTACGATTCCTCTCCATCAGGTTAGGCAATCTTGGCATCTCTTCTTGTAAATGAAACATCTCTAACTCCTTGCATCCAATTTTAGGACTATTAAGGCTGTGTAACTTTCATTATATAAGAGTTTGCTTGGCTGTGGTGAGACTGTGTTTGTATGAAAGTTACTGTGTTCAACACAAATTTAGGTGCATTTAAGCCCTTTAAAATCAACAGATGGACAAAGTGATTCTATGCACACTGGGCAGCATCTAGAGGGCCCAACTTCAGATCTGAGGCCAGAAAACTGCTCTGACCTAGGAACTGGGATCTATTCCCCAATTCCCCTCCTTTCTCCTCCCATCCTCCTCTCATGTCATAAGCGCAACCTCAGAGAAGAGGTAAAGTGGGTGTTGCAGTGGGTGGAGAGGGGAGGAGACTGGGTCTGCCAGGTACAATATGTCCTGGTGGCACTCTGACCTCCTTCCTTCCCTGTCCAAAGTACTGCAACAAGATGGCCAAAATCAACTCTATAGCTTACTTTGCAGGGTATCACCCTGTGCTCCTCTCTCCCTGCATAGATACCCATAATCTTCCAAGTTCCGAAGCTTATGGGCATCCCCAGTGTACCAAACTCTATTGAACTGTGGCCAATATTTTTGCAGTCTTACGTGTTTTAGCATAGCTGTAGGACTTTGAAGCAATTGTGTTTGTTAGGGCTGCACCCTACTACAATCTTACAGTAACTATTTTTATTCTTAAGAGCATTACTTCTGATGGGTAGTTTTTACAGCAGACTACAAAAGTGTTTATAATGTTTTAAATGAAGACACTGAAGAATTTGAAACAGATAATGTGGAAAATTTAAAGAGACCTCTTAAGAGGAAAAGAGTGGCCAGGAGGAAAATATTTATTTTCTTCAATAAATACCTATTAGGAAAAAATAGATAATTTTGAAAAACTTAAAGAAAATTTGTATAAAAGGAATTAAAGGGGGAAAAAGTTTCACTCCAAACCTTAAATTCAAAAAAGTGCAGTAAGAGTTGCTAGACATACTGTTGGACATTGGGGTAAGTATTACGAAACATAAAGAGATAGGTTAATGGTGTTAAAGAGATAAATGAAAGACGTTAAAGATCACTTTATTACTACATATGACTAACCCCAATGATAGTCAAAAGCACACATACAAAAAAACAATTTAAAAAGTGGATAGAAGTGACTCTACCAAGTTAGTTAAGGCTGATAAATGAAAAGATGTTGCAACTCATGCACAGATGCCTAAATAATTTTAGTTACTTTGTTCTTAAGCAAAGGAAGCCAAATCCTTTGACAGAGCAGAACCTCTGAAATTACCAAAGAGGCCGCCACAACACATAACCTAGAATTATTACACTGCTTCCTTCAATAAATACTTCAATAAATTTTGAGAGGATAAACTGAAGCTAGTATTTGTGCTGACCATGTGACTGCGATAATAGAAATGGTATGGAAGAAATTGCAAGCAAAGGAATATTTGGGGTTTTAATATTAAGACAAGCTTGTAAATTGTAGCTTTCCTCTAAGATATTCTCAGTGTTGACAGGCTTTACCTCTAGTTTCTTCTAGAATTATTTGGGGATATGGATAAATTCTACAAGTGCTGAGTTCATGAGAATACCGAGCTGTTCAAGATTTCAGGTATACACAACACCAGCACTACAAAACAAAAAGTCATCTTCTTCCCTTAGATTAATAAAACAACAAATATTCTTCAGAGTATTGGATGTTTAGCCAGAAATTTCATAGTAGAAGATTATGGGACCTAAACATTATGGCTATATTCTCATATTGAGAGTCCGGATTTTCAAACAAAACCCTTAAACAGATGTTCAATACTAAAAGATGTTAGAAGCAGTTAGTCCTTGGTTAACATGTTCAGGTTTTAGCTGGTTGGGTTTTTGTTTTGTTTTTTTAAGCAGAAGTTTTTAAACTGGCTTTTGGGGGGAGGGGGGCACCGTGTTGTAAAACCAGAATTTGTTTTAGAAAATCTTAAAAAAAATTCAGTGGGTATGTGTATGTATGTATGCAGTGCCTGAATAAGATATAAACAAGCATATAACACATCCTGCATAACTTCCTGTTTGATATGATACACATAGTATATTTTTATATTTTTAAAAAACACAGGTTAATCTTCATTACAAATGCAAAACACATAATATTAATTATCTGCAGGAATTTTAGGCTGTAATCCTAAATATCTTTACGAGGGAATAAGTCCAACTGAACACAGAGGGACTTATTTCTAAGCAACCATGTGTACCATTGTGTTGTTAATGCCAAAATGCCAAGCTTTTACCGAATGCTTATTAGACTAATTGTGTGTCTGCTGCCTGCCAGAGTCTTTCACATATAGTTTCTTGCATGCACACAGCTTTCTTACACGTGCCAGAGCTTCCCCACTGAGTTAGCATCTGTGGTATCTCCATCTGCATGTGGAGTTGTCCTGACAATCTCATCAGCGAGAGAACCTGAGCTTGGGAAAGCACAAGACATTTCAACTGGGGCCAGAGCTGCCCACAACAAAATAGAGCAGGCATAACTTAGGGTGCAGTCTTAAACATATTTAGTGTGTCAGCTCCATCAGACTCAGTAAGGCTTAGCGTGAACACACTCGTCAGTGTTGGAGCAGTATCTCACTCAGTCTTCTGGTTGTACTTTAGACATCAGTGAGGCGAACAACTCAATTCTAAACACATTTCCTCAGAACTCAGTTTCATTGATAACCATGGAATCCTCGGAGTATAGCTTGAGAGTAACTGGCAACGGGTTGCTACCGCAGACTCATGATCCTCCAATAATTTCAATGTCAAACATTCTGTTTATTTCAAAGAGCTTAGGAGAATGTATACAGATCTGAGCTACAGACCTCATTACGTGAATCTAAACAAATCTTAAGACCTACATATTTAGCTATGTTTTTGCAACAAGGACTCCCAAGAGTGTAATGAAAAACACAGAGCTTCTCAAGAATATGAAAGCTACTGTCAGTACTTTCAGTTTGATTTCTTTTTCTATACCATGCTTTGAGTAGCTGTATTTGCAGTAAAATAATGCACTATAGATTCTGCAAATAAGAATATTACCTACATTCCGAGAGATGCCTGTCTTAAACTGCAAACATCTGTATGAACAATGCATATAATTTATTGACCTTCCGAACTAGCCATTCCATTAAAAACAATAGCAACACTCTATAGCCTTTCAATAAGTTTTAAAATTTAAATGAAATAATAACAAATACAGTACCTGATGTATTCTTATGCTTATCCAATTGCCCACTCTTTTTGCAACTCAGTTTCACTCTGCCAGAGCTTCTGTATTAAATGCCTTCATCTCCTTAAAAGAAAAAAAAAAGTGTGTCAGCACAAGCCCAGGCAAACTTCAAATCCAGGAAAATAAAATTAAGCAGGCAGATCAAAGGCAGACGAGCAGTGAGACCAAATGCTTGTAATCTGATCAGTGATCTGCTGCCATACATCAAAGGCTGTGCTTTGGAGGCTGGAGAGAGAGAGACCTTTCTTTTTAGCAGGTAGTGGAGCTCACTCCTGCGCCTTCCCCCGGTTCTTCAATAGGTTTAATCAAAGCTCATCATTAGAGGGCCACCTACCCCCCTGTTTTGTCGTGCTGGGGGAATGCATGGTTCTTAGAGCTGAATGGCTGGATCCGTAGCTTCTCCCTGTCCCTCCTCTCCCTCTTTTTTGTTCTCAAGCTGTGCTCCTTGCGGATTGTGTGTTGGAAGCTTTCCCCAGTGCCAGCGGGTTCCGCTTATGCCTTTCATCTCGCTGAACTGATCCCATGACATCATTCAGTGCTGTGGGACTGGTTGGAGAGCTGTAATCCAGCCTGTGGGGAAACACAGCTGAACTGCACAAGAGTCTGTGTGGTTTTTAATTGAGTTAGCTGCTGTAAACAGTGCAAGAAAGTCCTTTCAAAGTTTCTGTTACTTGGAATTTTCATGTGAAGTCATGAAAGAGACAGAGATTTTGAAATGTTCTGTGCAACAGCGTGAAGAGCGTTTATCAGCATTGTGTCCGACCAAAATCAAAATTTCTCACACAAATACAAACCTGTAGGAGGATTTGCAACAGCTGCCAAGAAATTACCACCAAAACCACCAACAGAAGGGGAAAAGGAGAACCTCCATGACACACAATTTCCCACACTCAGTTTAAGTCCTGAAGAAGCTTTGGAGAAAAATGTGTTAGCAAGTCCACAAATTGTTAAGTTCAAAAAGAGAGGCTCATGGGCCTTCTGAATAGATAGTCCTGTGCCTATCTATTCAGAAGGAAGTAGCATTTATTTAAATAGGACTTGCTCCCAAGTAAGCATGTGTGCAGTCACCAGCGTGACAGGAACTGGGAGAGCTGTAATGCTTTGAAAAAGTTTCTGGGAATCATTGCATTGTTTTATCATTACCACTGGTGCAATCCTTGTGCAAGATGGTTAATTAATACTCCTGTGGGAACTGAGTTGATACCCTAATCTGCCTGCCCTTTCTTGCTCATCTGCAGTTAGACGCTGATCTATTTTCTCTCCTTTCTGCAGAAGGTGCCTTTGGTTGTGATTGAGATATAAGCATCGTTTCAGTTTTTGTGCATGCATTTATTTCTCTGATGGGTGGTATGGAACTGACTTCTGGCCTCTGCTCCCTCTCACAAATCACACAAGCTGTTCTTGCACCAGGTGCAGCACCAGATGAAAACACCCATTTTGACATGAATAAGCACAAAGACAGGAAGCACATTAAAAGGCTGCACCTATTTCTCCTTCAGGGGAAGACATCATTTAAGTAATAACCCTTCCCACACAAAGGATATGTGGATGGCCCTTTAAGAAGGTCAGATTTCGATGTAGGACTAGGAACCATCAATTCAAATATTTCTTTAGTTATGAGACTCAAAAAGTAGGCCTATCCCTCATCCCAATAGGTGTCAGGGAGGCTATTCCATGTATATTATCTAAGCTCATCATCATTAGCCAGGATTGGAAATCAAGCTGTTGGCCTTGTGGTATCTTTGCATAGAGATCTGTCCTACGGTCACATTTGAAGTACTGTATAGACTTCTGGTTGTCGCATATCAAAGAGGATTGTGTAACGCTAGAAAGGGGGTATATCAGGGCAACCAAATGATTTGAGGAGCTTCTTCCAAAAGGTTAAAGCATCTAGAAAAATTGGCTTGCAGCATGATAGAGATTTATACAATTATGTAGAGAAAATGGATAATGTTTCACATCTTCTATTTACCAACATAGGTAAACTCACATATGTACATATGTAGTGTCAAACACAGGGGTCTTTTCTAGAGCTGTAGAATGTACAAAGCAGAGTTATGCAGAGTGCTTCAATAAAACAGGGAATAGATACTTCTACCTCAGGGGATGGGGAAAATAGTTCAAGCAAACATTTGGTCAAACATTACAGATGTTATTTTTAATGCACACATAAACACAAGTTACAAAAGTGAAATACAGCTTGGTTTTTATGGCAAATACTTAGTACATTGACCATCACACTAATTCAAGTAGTCTTATTGCAGAGATACACAAAGATGGAGGTTGGAAAAACTGTTTGCTGAATAAGGAGTAGGAAGAGGTTTTTGGAAATGGGCTGATGGTGAATTGAGAAGCTCCAAAGTGTGTGTGTGTGAGAGAGAAGGAACAAAATAGCTTGATTTAGAACAGGAAAGGAAAAGAAACAGAACATAATTAATAACATGATACATACCTGGCTTCAGAATGAAGAGAAATCAAAGGACATTACTTTGCAGTTGGTCACAATTAGTTGTTGCTGTTGTGCTTATTTTCATTTCTATATTGCCTAAAATAGATGAAAATCACAACAGAAGGACTCTGTCTGCACAGGCTGCTCTCAGGTCTTCCAGGTTTTAGTTACAACTCATGGGATAAAAGCTTCAGACTGCCCAGGCATGCTAGAGTACCAAGATGTCCAGGAACAGCTAATAGAGGAGTTACCCACAACTTGTTCTGACATAGTGGCTGAGTGAAAAGCCTGAATGGAGCGTCGGCTGATATTAGTGGCATCAGAGACACCATAATTTTGTACGAAAAATAGAAAAGAGAGCATTAAAACAGGGTTAGGGTTAGGGTTAGACTTGACTACATCAAACATCAGGAGTTGAGGAGACTGGGGAAATGGTCAAGAGAGGGAATGATTTAAACCAAAGGGGTTTTAAAAAGTGGCAAATGGTTGTGCTGTACTCAAGACCTTCCGCTGCAACTGCTCTAAACAGTCAGCTTGACCACCACAACTTAGGTGGCAGGTCGTCGGTGAGGCACTGAGAATGGAAGTAAGGAACTCACAAATGATGCTGGGTCACTTCCATGTATAGAGTCTGAATATGGTCTCTTATGGAGACACTGTTGTGTCTCTGGGTATAAAAGGCAAACCAGTATCTTTAAGCAACAAGTGGATTCTAGACCTCCCCGGCCACTGGAACTCTGGTCCTTAAGTCTGGGTTAGGCCCAGATAGAGGGTGGATAGAGAGAGCGTTAGGAACAGATTGTGAAGAACAATCTTGGAGACTAAGCAAAGTCCCAGATAATCCTAGTGGTGAGATACAATCCACAAACACGCTGTGTGCCGAAGCAAAAAGAATAAATTGGTTTCCAAATTCAAGAGCAGGTATTGGCCTCAGCGAAAGAGTGTGGAGGACTCAATGACTCTGGGACTATTTGCACAGGGCAGAAAAAAGGAAACAATAACTTATTTATTTCAAACATTTCTATGCCGCCTGCATCGCAACAAAGCCTCGGGGCGGCTCACAAAGAATACATAAACACATACATAAATAATGATAATATAACAATTTTAAAAAATGGTTCATTGTTGGTAGGTATGCCATACATGTTTACTTTACAACTCTGGGAATCATTGCAGGAAGGATTGGAAATGTAATGTGTGAATCTGTGCTGTTCTCTTATTAATGTTGGTTGTGTTAATAAAATATTTGCATGAGAACTTCTCACTAGCCTGGTGAAATTGTATTTATTTATAGCAGGGGTCCTCAAACTTTTTCACCAGGGGGTCAGTTGAAAGGTGCCGGTGCTGGGTGCAGGCCGGAAAGGTGGTGCCGGCGGGGCACGCGGGGCTGGCGAGGGAGCAGGGGCGGGGCGCGTGGGCACTGATGTGGGGGGCAGGGTGCATGGGCATGGCGAGGTGCAGACGGGTGGGCGTGCGCGGTGAGGGGAGGGGAGGCGAGGCAGCGGCGGCCACACGATGCAGCGGCTTTCTCGCTTGGAGATTGATTTCTCCTAGCGAGTCCAAAATGATCTTCTTGCAAGCAAGCCGCTGCCTCCCCATGTGGGGGACGAGGCGGGCGGTGGCGGGTGCACGCAGCCCCCACGTGGTGCGTGGGTGCATGCGGTGCATTGGAAACCTCTGAGGTGGGCCGGATAAATGGCCATGGCGGGCCGGATCTGGCCCCTGGGCCATAGTTTGAGGATCCATGATTTATAGCTTTTGTAGAAAGCTCCACTGAAAAGTCTCTGAGAGTGGCTTACATGAAGTTGACTGACCCTGCCCACAGCTAATCTATAAAGCATAACACAGCAGGAAAAAGGATAAGGAAGATGATGGACAAGCTCAGGCAAAGTTCCTGTAACAACCAGCTGGAAACCAGGAGAGTAGGAGCATGATGGAGCTGATCGTGTAGCAGAGCTGATGGAGTAGTCCCTCTTCTAGTCTCTGTCCTGGAGGTTGTGGTTGAGAGGCCAGCTCCATCTGCTCTTCTCTTGACTGTCATGTAGCAGAAGGAAGATTTCCAGATGGTTTGGACTTCCGCTCCCAAAAGCTCCTGCCAACATGCCTAATGGTAAAGAACAGTGGGAGCTGAAGTCCACCCCATCTGGCCAAGGAACAAAGGAGCCTGAGGAAGCTGGCCTCTTAGCAGAGTAATGCTGCTTCCCATCTTTCCCTCTGCTGCAGCCCAACCAGTACTGTCCAGCATCAAAGGTCATAAATGACTGACTGTTTCCATCCAACTGGTGGCTCAACCTTAGCTCCTGTGTTGTGTGAATGTTTTTGTGACCTCAAAGGTTAGCTATTTTCCTATAAATTCTTTATATAGAGGAGCAGCTTTAATACAACTCTAGATGGAGGCTGATAAAATCTATGCACTTTATTTTTTCCATGTGTGTATAAATGAAAACACTATATATTTTAGCCTTAATACATTTTGTATTAAAGGTAGATTGTAAACAGGTTTATTTTAAAATAGATTGAACTAAAATTTAATATATCTCATTTATTTTGTTTTTAAAGCTTTTGACACAATTTAGTGCTTTAAAGACCTAGCAACTTAAGTGGGAGTGTTAAAAATCTTCTTAAATGTCTCCCATAAAAATCAACAAACTGACAAGTATTATGTTTTGGCTGGAGTGTTCCACTGTTTTTATAATTCATGCAATTGTGTTACCTCTATCCTTTTTAGTCTTCTTTTGTCTGTACCTGTAAAACAATCCCATATAGTAGCCCACCATCAGCCTAAGATTGCTTGAATGAAATATACATAAGCCATGGACATATGTAAATGATTCTACCTCACTTCAAAGGCAGATTGTGCTAGAGAAAATTATTGTTTGCAAGAGGTACTAATCTTTGTGTACTTGGGTTTAAGTGAAAACCAAAGGCTAAACCATTTCAAGCATTCT